TAATAAAGTGGGAGCAGGATTTTCCGTAATTGCCCTGCTAAGGTAAGAGATGGACTGTCTTTTATTAAATTACACTTTGCAACACTGGAGTCTTGCACGGAGCGGAGGTTGCTTGATGTCGCATACTCGTACTGCATCTGGGATCAATTACTCGATGTAGCAGTAAACAAGATGCTTGCCTCTTCTGAAAGGGCTGGGCCCCTCAGGGCTGAAAAGGGCTGAAAGGGGCTGAAGGGGGCTGATACCCCCCTCCTGGAGAAAATTTCTCCACACTGGGGGGCAGCGGAGGTTCGCTGCAGGTGAACTATTCATCACTTAACATTAATTTGATTTTCTCTCCACGTCGCCACCACTGTTGCTGTCTTTTCCTGAACAGATATAGTCTAGTGTGGTTTCTGGAGAATCACAATTTTATTTTCAACACTGGTAATTCTATGGCCCAAGTTTATTTATTGGTCCCCTTATTCACGTACACCTTTGCATAAAACCAATCACTGTCCTGAATGATTCCATTTGCATCAGATATATTGTCAACTAATTTTTTCCAAGTTGGCAACGGAACCTCGACCATCATTGTCATAATCACTATGTCTCCAGTTTTTAAAGACTATGATTTTCAGAACACCAGCTCATCGAAGTGTTTCTCTCATGAGGTGAGATAGTCCTTCTCGCCAAATTTCTCCAACGTTCAATCGCTTTATTAAGGGTGTTTGAATTTTACGTCTGAGTTGTCTTCAGTCGAAATAAGTGGATCCTCTATGATTTCCTTATCATTCATGGGAGGAACAGGTTCGAGCCTTCTACCATGGATTAAAATGAGAGGACTTAAACCCTTCTAAATTGTCCAGATCATCCGGGGTAACGGGGTATGGGAAGGTCTGTGGTTGACTCTATTTCTATTTCAGTCACAACTTACGGAATCTTCTAAGTCGATTCTTTGACGATGAAGAGTCTTCCTAAACAACCATTTTACAATGCCGATCATTCTTTCATATAATCCGCCGTGCCATGGAGATTTAGGAGGAATGTATCTCCAACGACACTGCGTTGATTCAGCATCTGTTTTGTATACATCTGTTGATCATAGATCTTGCTTAATAAGCAACACCAGCAACAAAGCTCGTTGCATTGTCTAAAATCATCAGTCTGGGACACGCCCTTCTGCGCAAACCTTCTGAATAATTTTGTAAAGAAAGATTCAGCAGACAGTCAGTGGCTACTTCTAGATGTAACTGCTCTAGTCGTAGCACAAGTGAACAAACAGATGTACCATCCTTGATGGAACTTTGTCATGTTTTGGTTAAAATATGGTCCAGTGTAAATCTACACCTGTCACCCTCAAATTGGGAGTGACAAGATGATAAACTCTTTCAGAGGGATATGAGGGGACCTGGAACTGACATACTCGCATAACATAGTACGACAAGTATACAGTCCTTTATTTGTTTTTTCACACTTTGTCGAAGCTTGAGGTAATCCAGTAGGATTGCCCGTATATGACAAAGTGTGTCAGCTACCCCCACCATGTAACACGTTACTGTGGGCGTTTTGCACAATCAGTTTTGTTACCAATGATTCTTGGAATCAATATTGGATTTATGGCTTCTTAGGTAAGTGAAAATATGAATTCTTCCTCGAACATCATATAATCTTTTCTGAGTCGAGATAAAGTCCTAAAATTTAATCATAAACATGTTTATTTGGGATTTATCTTGTGTTTCCAGAAATTTTTATTCTGTAGAGAAAACAAACTTTTCTGTATTGAGGTATTCACCCAGTATTTAATGGTTCAAGACATTCATAATCGGTTTTATTCCTTAATGAATTTAAATTACAAGAGCTGTAACTCTTAAGAGTTACACCAAAGATGAGTATTTTGATCCATCAATGACTATTATCTGTTGTGTCTGCAGTATTTACGCCAAAAAACGTTTGTATTTTTTTTTTAAAAAAAAAAATTTATTTTTTTTTTTTTTTTTTATTGCCCCCTTTTGTTTTTGGGCCACCCCCCCCTGGTTTTTGTTCAAGCAAACTGTTTCTTCTAGGCATAATGTAGCTTTTTGCTGAGGCCGAGTTAATTTTCATTAGAGAGCCAGTTCGGTCCCGTGGAGCCATAAATTTATTATCCACACATTTCTTGAGTGGGACAACACGTGACAAAACATGTCAGCTGGATTCTCTTGGGTAGAGACGTGGAGAAGAGATAATCTCTCTGCCACTCTTTTATTTCTGCTACTCTATCAGTACATAGACCAACTTACTCTTATTATTTCTTAACCACTGGAGAACTACTTCATTATCACTCCAATCCACGGTTTTTTCAATAGTGAGATGACAAGTACTTTGTTGAGATAACAGCCTTAATTTTGTACGCTACATAAAGTGCTGTCATTCCATTGTGGTACTGTTCTGGACCTTCAAGGGTGCTACCCTAGCCTTTGAAGCAATTATGTACTTTCCTTCAAGCATTACACATTAAGCTACAAGCGCATAACCTCTGGTTGACGCATCACAGAACACATGTAATGTGTAATTGTTTCCCTTTGACTAGTTTGTCTGGAAATTTAATTTGATGACAAGTTGTTTAAACTCCTTGGATATTTCATCCATGCTTGACTCATTCATAGAGGCAAGTTCTTCACCCATCCAATTTTGTGTTCATGCATCTTGCAAAGCATTTTACCTTTATGGTAATTGGTGAGACGAGTTCCTAGAGGATCAAAACATTGTGATACCACCTGACAGTAAACTACGTTTAGTGAGTGTACATGATCATATTTATTGTTTTATCTTTTTGAGACTCAAATTATCTTCCTGTGTGTTCAATTAAGTCCCAGCTATATTTTGCAATCAGGAATTTCAGTTTCAGGAAATCGTTCATTGATAAGCTCCCTTAATTGCATTGAATTAGTATCACATCCTTAGAGGCAGTGGGCCGCTTTCATTTCTCTTGTTAAGCTTCTCTGTATAAGGATTTCCAAATCTTCGCCTCTTTATTCACAGTAACCTGAAGATTGTCCACATAGAAACTTTTCTTTAAGATTTCTTTTGAAGTGACTTTCAGATTTCTTCAAATGTGTTTTAGAGGAGCTACTATAAGAATGGAGAGATTTTTGCGCCAAATAATATTGATCTGAAACGATAAGTTTTCGCAGGAACTTTAGATCATGTTGGATTTTCAGGCCCAGCAGAAGATCGAGTATAATCTCTATCTATTTCTTGTAGTCCTACTTCTTAAGAAAGCTTTGGAAATATCAGCCGTGTAGGCATATGGGTTTGTGCGTAATTTTCATAAGCACGTCCTTCCCAAGCTTCTCAGTTAGTGAGGTCCGGTCATCAGACAATCATTAAGACTGCACATCTATAGTTGCACGTGCGCTGCAATTGTATACAACACGTAGTGGAAGTGGTTTTCAGAATCTTTTCTGACTCATGTGCGGGGAGATAATGAGCCTCTGTCTTTCGACTTATCTTTCGACTATTTCCTCAATGAATTTATTGTCCAACTGTTCTTGTAATGATATTTATTACATAAACAGTTCCAGTAGCTCTGATTCTTCCTGAGCTCATGTATTGTCTTTCATTTGTCCGGAAAGGCCATGCGATAATTGTAGGCAGATGTGGTGTATTTAATTTCCATGGTAACCTAACCCAATACTGTCCATCTTTATATTTGACAGTGTCCAAATAAGGTTATAAGTCTGAACCTTGTGGGCTTGGTTTATTTACCATCAATACCTAATCGCATCTAAATCCCACAACTTATCAACTGGTTCATTCATTTCTTCGCAAGTAAGATAATTTTTGCTGAGTGGTACATGATCAGCGGTATATTCTCGTAACTAGTAACATTTTCACTGAATCACTATCAGCTTCTTTCGCCACTGTTGAGAGGGAATGACCACATATCATGTTTCCTCCTGCTGTTTTCAGCAAGTGATCATCATGTTTACTTACTATATTTGCAACAAAAAACAAACTGATAATAATCACTTCCAATGATAAAATCAATTGGACTAATTGTGTCCGTCTGTATTCAGGACAGGCTAACTTACCTAGCTGCTTCAGTGCTCAACTGTTTCTTTTAATCCCCTGATCCTGCACAGACTTAGGCAATCATCTACTACCACAGCTTCTACTGTCCTTTTTCCTGTTTCCTAACCAACAGTGGATTCTTGCTAGGTCATATGTCTGTTTACCCAAATGGGAAAAATGCAAGCTATATCTAACTGTATTTTGCATAGGGTTTTATTCAGTTCTGCAACACCTGTTCTTCTTATGAAGACCTTTGTGAGCCTTGATCAAATAGTGTTAGCACATTGGTTTTGTGTAATTTATTAGATACTCAAATCGAGCTATCCTGGAGAGGCAGTTGCCTTTAAACTTATCTCTCTCACATTTTAATGCTGTTTGCTTTTTGACTTCCTGATTCTGTAGAAGTCTGCTGCTGTTCAGCAAAAGTATTTGGGCATAATGCATTTAAAACACTTCTTCAGTGAGCATTTTCCTCCCTTGTGTTCACCTAAACACTTGGTGCACCTTTTCAGCTGATGTATACGTTGTTTACGTGCCTCCATTGATGTGTATGAATATCATTACTGTGCCCAATGTGTTCCATCACAAAGTACACATTTTGGAGTACGTTTATGTGTGACAGTCTGTTTACTGTCTGTTTACTGTCTGTCTGGGATTTCCTATTCTGTGGTTTAGTGGGAGTAGATATACTTTTGATATACTGAGTTGAAGGTTTATTATCCTCTGATTTGTGGATTTGTGCAGCGGGCCTCGGGCTGCATCATGAAACTATTGTTTGTAAACCATTGTTCATTTGCTTCACAGTGATAATACGTTTATTGAACATAATAATTGAATAATCGATCATAGTTCTGGTGACAACTTATCCTGTACAAAACCACTGAAAACAATCACATTGCCTTAGGTCATATTTAGCACCCAGAGATCTGAGACTATTGTCTAATGTGATTCTAAATGCCTGTAAGTCTGAAAAACATGGTTTTGGTGGCTTCAACTATTAAGATGCATGTCTATACTCTGGCCTTGTCAGCAATCAAAGTAGATTGTCCTGCTAAGACACGTAAGGCTATTTGATAATTGCCTTTAACCACCGGAAATGACTTTATCAGTTCATAGGGTTCTCCCCTTCACAAAACTTTTAGATAATTGAACTTAGCAATCTCATCTATGTCAGTTCGTGAATTTTTCTATGGACTGAAACCCACTAATGAATTCTCATAATTTATGACCTTGGAAAATAGGTATGACAAGGTGGTAAACTAGGTTAATGGGACACTTGTTACAAAAATGTAACAGTGTTGTTTGACCCACTAGTTACAGTAGGTCTCTGTGACAGAGTTTTTTGCAGCAAAATTGCCTGTACTCTCCTGTCCACCTTAATTGTTCATACTAAAAGTATCCAAAACATTTTTAATTTCATCCTCAGATGGATCTGATTCAAGAAATTCCTTTTCATAATCTGTATAGTCTGAATTAATTATTTTCAGACATTGTGTAAGTAATTCAAATTTACCTCAAGATCATCAAAATCTATGTTTTGTATCTTGAGTTAATCCCAATACAGACTGAAATATAGATATTCTAATTGTGTAATCTTAGTCTGTAAAGACTGAAACTGAGTTTTCAAACAAGCCATTTTAATAATATATTGAAAATTCTAGCACCACACTTAGAGTGTTTAAAAAAACACTATACTGCTATAAAAGCTGAGTTTTTGTTGTGCTTAAGTCAGCAATAATCGAGTCAGACACTACTGACCCACTAAGCTTAACCTCAGGGTCAATGACCATGAAGGGTACAGAGTACATATGGCTGGTGTTTATGGCTTGAGTTTTCTGTGTCAGCCTGACCACGATGATTAATCGTAAATAACGATGTTATACACTTCATTCACTATACACTATAAATGTCACTGTATAACTAAATCACACGTGAATATTACTTACACATATATAAATGTCACTGTTAATATATATGAAAGCTTAAATTTTATATATAGTTTCCTTTAATATAACAGTTATATCTATAAGAAACTTAAACACAATCTCTGTCTATAAACATTATAAACACTATGTGTATATACACTCAGACAAACTGAACATCAGTTGGGTTGTTGCTGTAGTCAGCGTTTCTGAAAGCTGGAGCAGTAGATTCATTGCTAAACATTAGTCACTGGTCATGTAACAGTGATGTAACTGGAGTTTACTACATTCATCCCTCAGCTCTTGGATTTCATGGGGGTGACACCAAAGATTCCGCTCCAGGTGACACCAACCCTAGCGACGCCTCTGCTTGGGAACAAACCTTTCTTCTGCCTCCTTGCATTTTGTTGTTACATATTCCATCATCTCTTTTAATAATATGAGTTAAATAATATGAGTGCTCGTGGACCACAAACAATCAACCAGCGGGCCACTTGTGGCCCACAGACCCATAGTTGGACCAACCTCTTCTAGAGTGTAACCAAACATCAACAAACCCCTTCGGGGAAAATTTTTTCTATTGATGAGTCTTGTGTCGGAATCAAAGGGATGCCCTGCTATCTAGCAGAGGGATGCTCTTTTATTTTAATTGGGGGAGGGGGAGGGAGACACATCATCAGCTTAACCAGTTTAGATGACCTTATCCAACTTCCCTAAGCTTCGCGAGCTACTTCAGCCAATGTATAAATTGTTGATTATATTTTGAGGTAGCTTTAAACCCAGAGGGGTCATATAGCCTCCATCTTTCCTTGTCCTGGGTGTCCTGCATCCAGGACATCATGTGATTTTTAGACCCGTGTCCAGGAAAGACACACTGCCATGTTTCCCGACGAACAAAACACCCCCACCACCACCACACCTGACCTGGGTGGGTCTCCTCCTGGCCAGGGTTCACTAAGCACGACCTGGTGTGGTTCGAGAACGCTGGGGAGGGATTCAGCGAGGGCTGGACCGCCCACGTGGTAGCCACTAATGGTCCAGATGTGCATTTTGCCACGGTCACCCTCAGCGCCGGCGGCCGCGACTTTGACTGTGTGGTGGTGGGAGAGTTCTTCAAGGAGCGCACCTCCATCTACTGGACCGAGAGTGACACCAACGACTGGACGGACCTCTCCAAGGTGAGTCTGGTCCACCACCCGAGGATGATGATCATTCTTCTTCAAGTTACTGCTAGTAATTTAATTATTTTTTTTAAAACTGATAATAATAATAATAATAATAATAATAATAATAATAATAATAATAATAATAATAATAATAATGTTAAATGTTGTTGAAGCTAGGGAAGCTGTGATTTCGTGCAATGAGCAGGGAGATATAACATCTTGTAGGAGTGATGAACACCAGTTGTGAGTGTTAGAGGAGATATGTGAGGCAGTGAGTAGAATGAAAGGGGGTAAAGCAGCTGAGATTGATGGGATAAAGGTAGAAACGTTAAAGGCAGGAGGGGGATATAGTTTTGGAATGGTTGGTGCTTTTATTTATTAAATGTATGGAAGAGGAGAAGGTACCTAGTGATTGGAAGAGGAGAAGGTACCTAGCGATTGGAAGAGAGCATGCATATTTCCTTTGTATAACAGCAAAGGGGACAAAAGAGAATGCAAAAATTATAGGGGAATAAGCCTGTTGAGTATACCTGGTAGTGTATGGTAGAATTACTAGTGAAAGAATTGAGAGTAAGACGGAGAGTAGGATCGCATATGAAGAGTGCGTATAAATCAAACGTTTACTACAATGAAGCATATAGGTGAACAGTCTTTATATAAGGGTAAAGAGGTTTTCGTTGCATTTATGGATTTGGAAAAAACATATGATAGGGTGGACATGGAATCACTGTGGCAGATGTTGCAGATGCATGGTACAGGTGGTAGGTTACTGAAAGTAGTTAAGAGTTTTTGCGATGATAGTGAGGCTCAGGTTTGAGTATGGAGGAGAGAAGAGAGATTATTTTCCAGTAAAAGTATACCTTGGGCAGAAATGTGTCATGTCACCATGGTTGTTAAATATATTTATAGATGGGGTTGTAAGAGAAGCGAATGCTTGGGTGTTGGCAAGATAAAGAATCTAACACAATATGGGAGTTGTCACAGTTGCTTTCTGTTGATGACACTGTGAGTTTTTGAACATTCTGAAGAGAAAGTGCAGAGGTTGGTGGACGAGTTTGGAAGGGTATGTTAAAAAGGGAAACTGAAAGTGAACAAAGGAAAGAGCAAAGTGATGAGGATAACAAAAAAAAAATTAAGTAATGAAAGACTGGATATCAGATTGGAGGGAGAGAGTATGGAGGAAGTGAATGTGGTCAGATATTTGGGAGTTTACTTGTCAGCAGATGGGTCTATGAAAGACAAGGTGAATCATAAAACTGAGAGAAGAAAAAGGTGAGTGGTGCACTGAGGAGTCTGTGGAGACAAAGAACATTATTCATGGAAGCAAAGAGGAGAATGTATGAGTGTATAGTGGTACCAATGCTCTTATATGGGTGTGAAGCATGGGTAGTGGATGTTGCAACAAGGAGAAGGCTTGAGGCAGTGGATATGTCGTGTCTGAGGGCAATGTGTGGTGTGAATATAATGCAGAGAATCCATAGTTTGAAGATTAGAAGAAGGTATAGGATTTCTAAATGTATTATCCAGAAGGGTGAGATGGATCACACATTTAGAGAGGACGGGACAAAATAGAATGAGTTGGAAGGCGTATAAACCAGCAGTGGAAGGAAAGCAGTGTAGGGGTTGAACTCGGAGAGGTTGGAGGGAGAAAGTAAAGGAAGTTTTGTATGCAAGGGGCATGGACTTCCAGCAAACATGCATGAACGTGTTAGGAACGAGTGGAGACAAATGGTTATTATGACTTGACGTGCAGTTGGAGTGTAAACAAAATAACACTTATGAAGGTATTCGGGGAAACCAGTTAGCCAGACTTGAGTCCTGGAGGTGGAAAGTACAGTGCCTGCACTCCGAAGGACGGGTGTTGACATGCTGCAGTTTTTTAAAACCCTTAAACTGTCCAAACAGATTTACGTTCACATGCGTAGTGCTCCAAAAGTAGATCTTCGGTTTTTTTTTTTTTACATATTTTCAAATATAACAAAAAAAAGTAGAGCAAAGATTTTTTACACGTTTTCAAATGTAAAAAAAAAAATATCTACGTTTTTTTTACATATTTTCAAATGTTGAAAAAGCGTAGATCTACGTTTGGACAGTTTAAGGTTTAACTGTAGTGTAGGTGCGCATCTGGTAACACAGTGATGGAGTAAATGATGAGGAAAGCATTTCTTCTTTTTCGGGTCACTGTCTCGGTGGGAAACGGCTGATGTATTAATAAAAAATTTTTTATTGTTATTAGTAGTAGCAGTATTAAAAATATTAATAATAATCGAATATCAACTGGATATTTAATTTATGTTTAAATGCTATAATTTAAAATTTTCTAATTTTGTCGAATTTCCACAAACTAAGTTACGTAAATACACAAACTAAGATAAATTCCTCAACTTCTAAAAAAATTCTCTTGTATGAAGCAAAAACTCTCCCAGTCAACAGACGCGTCAACATAACCTTGCTAAATTTTGCTTGAACTCGTTTCGATATGAATCGCATTTTAATTTCATACAGCTGGTATTTTACTGTCTAAAAGGAATAGCGGAAAGCAAGAAGATATAGATCTGTAACTAGGTATGTCAGAGTCTGTCAATACTAGAACATCGAAATCACTAAAACTTAGATTAAAAAAAAAATATTAAGAAATAATCAATGAGTTCAGTTTCAGGTCAGATTTCAGGTCACTCACGAGTTCCGCCTTCTCAACGCAGGTCAAGTCTCGGGTCATTAACGCAGACGCTGGCCAGGTCTTCGACGTGTTGGTGGATGACTTCAATCGCGACGGAACGTTGGAATTTATCGCCTCTGAGTACAAGACTGACCTTGGAGTCGGACAAGTCACCTTGTACCAATTCCCTGAAGATTTCAGGTGAGCAGTGCAATGAACAGGTGATATACAGACCGTAAAGAAAATATAGCTTTAGTATACTCACTTATACGTGGTTTCAGGAGTGGTTTACCAACTCCCGTCCCCTTCTTTTTGCTGGTGAGAGAAAGAGAGAGAGAGAGAGAGAGAGAGAGAGAGAGAGAGAGAGAGAGAGGGTGAGAAATCATGTTTTATATTGTTGAACCCCAAAACTACTTTTCACCTTACTGTTATTATTTTCTGCTCATAGGACAGACGAGTTTCCCCAGATTGTGATAGCTGACGGCTTCCAGCCTCACAACATGCTGGTGGGTCAGTCTATGTCACCCGGCTCACCCAAAGTCTACTACCCGACCACCGAGTACGCCAACGACTTGGCTGAGGACGGCTTGTACGTACCTTTAAAAAATAAAAAGGCTCAATAGCGTGACCACAAAAATACACAAAGAACCCTCATATAGGAGAAAGAAAATTAGGGCGACATTTCAGTCCATCTTGGATCATTAACAGACTGATACGTCGTCATCAGTTTTTCCTATGTGCGGGTTATTTGTGTAGTGTATGTACCTTTGTTTAGTATTTAACAAGGTTAGATGCAGCCGCAGTGTGTGACTCCCTTATTCTACGTGATAATTACATTGTGAGAACTCATACTGTGTGTGGCTCCCTTATTCTACGTGATAATTACATTGTGGGACCTCCCACAGTGTGTGGCTACCTTATTCTGCGTAATAATTACATTGTGAGAACTCCCACAGTGTGTGGCTACCTTATTCTGCCTGATAATTACATTGTGAGAACTCCCACAGTGTGTGGCTACATTCTAAATAATTATGCAATTACACCTCTTCTACATCCTTCAACAGACCGCACAAGCCCTTCATCCTGCTGTCGGGGGATGATGATGGTTGCATGTACATCTTGTATCCTGACACTGAGGAGAGGGATGATTGGACGTACCAGAAGCACATCTTGGTTAACACAACCCACACCACCTCGGGTGAGTGACTAGCAAGGTTGTTGTTGATGGTGTCCAGATGTTACAGCACAGATTAGAGGTGTTCCTCTTGTTGTTCTGATGTTGCAGCATAAACCAGTGATGTTCCTGTTGTTGTTCTGGTGTTGCAGCGCAAACTATTGGTGTTCCTGTTGTGTTCTGATGTTGCAACAAAGGCTAGTGGTATCCTTGTTGTTGCTCTGAAGTTACACTCAAAACCACTAGTATCCTTGTCGTTGTCTGATGTTAGAGCACAGACAAATAATGTTCTTGTCGATGCTACAACGCAGACTTGTGGTGTTCTTGTTGCTTTCTGATGTTACAGCACAGACTAGAGGTGACTTTGTTGTGTTCTGTGCTCACCACAAAATCAGGACATTACTTCAGTTGATGGTATCCGGACAGATATTGATTCTACCATAGTACCAATGTTATAATTATTTTATTTACATGAGCGTTAAAAAATCCATATAAATAAATAGAAAGACTGGAATATGTAAGATAAATTGATAATAGCGGGCCTGGAGAAAATAGATGATGAAATAGCAATCACTCAGGATATGGTCATTAAAGAGGGTGACCAATTAAAACAAAATAAGTTCCCAGGCCCCGATGAACGTTTTTATAACTTGGAGTGCTCAATGGAGCTTAGTGAACTATTGACTAACTTTTAATATGTCTCTCCAGACAGGTATAGGTCAGCAATAGAAATAATTAGAAGTAAGGGTGGGAACCCTCTCATATGTGGTATTTTGCCAAGGAGGGGAGTTGGAAGTGAATGGTTGTCCAGGGCAATTGGTGTCAATTGCTGGCTGGACAAATACTGTAAGGAAAATGCGGTAACATTCATTGACAACTGGGACCTCTTCTATGGCAGAAATGACATGTATGCTAGGGATGGGGTTCACTTATCTAGGTGTGGGGTGGGAGCACTGGCAACTGCAGTGGAGGGAGCAGTTAGGACTTTAAACTAGGAATAGTTAGTGGTATGGGTTTTGGCAGGAAAACAGTTTAAGTCCCAGTGTAGTAATATTACGAGTTCTAGGGGGAAATAGTAATAATAAGAACGAGATAGATATTGAAAACCCAGGGGCCTTGGGTGATAAGGACGGTAATAGGTTAGTAGAAAAATAGAAATGAGCAGGAAGGGTAAAGAGAAAGAGAGTTTTTTCAATGTTTTTTTATGCTAATTGCCGTAGTGCTAGGAATAAGATGGACGAGTTTTAGATTAGTTGCTAGTGTAGGTAACATTGATGTATTTGCCTTAACTGAGACGTGGTTTAATTCAAAAAGTCGGGACATGCCTGCGGAATGTCATATTCAGGGTTTAAATTGTTCCAAGAAGATAGAAGTATTGGGAGGGGGGGGTGGGGTGGCATTGTATGTCCGAGATCCCCTTGAACTTTGCATAAAAACGGGTATTAAGTCTGAAGTAAACACATACAGAGTCTGTTTGGATAGAATTTTCAGAGGGCATGAAAAACTGATTTTAGGAGTGATATACCGTCCCCCTAACTTAGAAGGGACCAGGGGAAACTACTATGGGAGGAAATTGTTAAGGCCACAAGGGACGATAAAGTAGTAATTCTAGGAGACTTTAACTTTAGTTTATGTTGATTGGAATTTCTTGACTGGGGAATTAGAATCGTACGACTTCTTAGAAGTATTTCAGATTTTTTTTGAAGCAGTTTGTGACAGAACCTACAAGGGGAAATAACCTGCTTGACTTAGTTATGGCAAACAATGAATCCCTTGTTAATAATTTAGAAATTTCAGAGGGAAATGGGTGCTAGCGACCACAAATCAATTACATTTAGCATTGAATGGAAGTACGATAGTAGCGATAACTCAGTAAAAAGTCCCAGATTTTCGCTTAGCAGATTACGATGGGCTTAGAGAACACTTATCATCTGTTGACTGGGGTAACGAAGAGAGCTATCAATATGACAGTTTTCTGAACACTATACATGCTGCTCAAAGAGCGTTTATCCCATATAAAGAAAAATTTGATCAAATAGAAAAAGACCCAAAATGGATGAATAATAGGCTCAAATTCTACTAGGGCATAAGAAAGGAATTTATAGGCGTATCAAAAGAGGTGAGGGTCATCTTATGAATCAGTATATTGACATTAAGAGGGACATTAAAAAGGGGATAAGAAAAGCTAAAAGGACTAGAAATTAAAGTTGCTAGGGATTCTAAAACTAACCCAAAAAGTTTTTTTTCCCGGTCTATAGAACAAAAGTTAGAGATAAGATAGGTCCCCTTAAAAATAACTATGGGCACCTTACTGACAATGAGAATGAAATGTGCTTGAATTTTAAATAATATTTTCTCTCAGTTTTTACAAAAGGAAGACACTAAAAAATATTCCAGTAATTAATTTTTTCAGTGGGCTTTGAAGAAGTAAATTATGTAACACACAGTCCTATGAGATGTTGTGAGGCAGATAGACAGACTGAAGCAAAATAAGTCGCCGGGTCCGGGTGAGGTTTTTTTAAGGGTTCTTAAGAATGCAAAATGGAACTCTTGGGAAACCCTTTAAATAATATTTTTAATTATCTCTTCAATCAGGGGTAGTGTCTGATATGTGGAAGATGGCTAATTAACTCCTATTTTTTAAAAAAGGGACAAGTCGTTACCGTCAAATTACCGCCCAATAAGCCCGACCTCAATTGTAGGCAAATTACAGAGTCAATTATAGCTGAGATTATAAAAGCCATCTCGATAAGCATAGCTTGATTAATGATACTCAGCTGGATTCACAAGAGGCCGGTCTTGTCTACTAATTTTTTTAACTTTCTTCAGTAAAGCTTTTGAGGCTGTTGACCACAATAAAGAAATTGATATTATTTACTTAGATTTTAGTAAGGCTTTTGATAGAGTTCCGCACCATAGACTGTTAAAGAAAGTGGCAGCTCATGGCATTGGGGGAAAAATGCTCTCGTGGATCGAGTCATGGCTCACTGACAGGAAGCAGAGAGTGTCCATAAATGGGGTTAAATCCGAGTGGGGGTCTGTAACAAGTGGCGTTCCACAGGATCGTCTTGGGGCCCGTTGTTGTTTATAATATATATCAATGATCTTGATGAGGGAATTACTAGTGATATGAGCAAATTCGCCGATGACACAAAGATAGGTAGGAAAATTGATTCAAACGTAGAATGTTAGGGAACTTCAGGAGGATTTAAACAAACTCTATTCTTGGTCAGAAAAGTGGCAGATGCAGTTCAATGTAGATAAGTGCAAGGTTCTGAAGCTTGGGAGTGTCCCCTAACCTAGTACTTATAAATTAAATGATGTAGGGAAATTTGCCATACAGATTGCGAAAAGGACTTGGGGTTATGGTGAGAAACAACCTTAAACCAAGACAGCAATGCCTAAGCGTACGTAATAAGGCAAATGATTACTGGATTTATATCAAGAAGTGTAAGCAATAGAAGTCCAGAGGTCAACTGCAGCTTTATACATCATTAGTAAGGCCTCACCTTGATTATGCAGCTCCCGTTCGGTCTCCGTATTACAAAATGGACATAAATCGTTAGAAAACATTCAGCGTAGGATGACTAAATTTAAAACATAGCATCAGAAATCTTCCTTATGAAGAAAGATTGAAGACTCTTAAGTTACATTCACTTGTTAGACGAAGAATGAGGGGAGACCTGATCGAAATGTATAAGTGAAGATAGTATTAATAAAGGGGATATTAATAAGGTCTTGAGGATGTCTCTCCAAAGAGAACCCGCAGTAATGGATTTAAATTAGATAAGTTTAGATTTAGAAAGGACATAGGAAAGTATTGGTTTGGAAATAGGGTAGTTGATGAGTGGAACAGTCTACCTAGTTGGGTTATTGAGGCTAGGACTTTGGGTAGTTTCAAATCTAGGTTGGATAAGTACATGAGTGGGAGGGGTTGGATTTGAGTGGGACTTTCACATAAGAGCTTATTTCTTGGATAGCATTGAAAATTGGGTTGGGTAAATGTTTTGTTAGTGGGATGAATTGTAAAGGACCTGCCTAGTATGGGCCAGCAGGCCTCCTGCAGTGTTCCTCCTTTCTTATGTTCTTATGTTAGGTGTAGCGTCTGATGTGTGGAAGATGACCAGTGTAATTCCTATTTTTAAAGGAGGGGATAGGTCATTACCATCAGGTTACTGCCCAATAAGCCTGACCTCAATTGTAGACAAATTATTCGTCAATACTGGCCGATATTAAAAGAAAACATCTTGATAAGCATAGTGTGGTTCATGATACTCATCATGGATTCGCGAGGAGCCGTTCCTGCCTGACTAATTTACTGACTTTTTTGCAGTAAAGCATTAATACAGTTGATCATGATAAAGAATAATGTGATATTGCTTATTTGAGTACCACACAAAAGTGGCAGTTCGTGGTACTGGAAGAAAAGTTCTGGCATGGATCGAGGCAGGGCTGACCAGTAGGAAGGACAGAGTCTTCATAAATAGGGTGAAATCAGAATGTGGATCAGTCACAAGTGTCGTTCCGCAAAGATCAGTTTTAGACCCACTGTTGTTCATAATTTACATTAATGACTTTGACGAGGGAATTATACGTGATATGAGCAAATTCGCTGATGACACAGAAGTAGGCAGAATAATAGTGTCATATGAAGATGCAGCTGAACCTCAGAAAAGTGGCATATGCAGTTCAGTCCCTCAGCCTGGAGTCGATGTGCATCGACTCCAGGCTGAGGGATTCATTACTTCAAATCCTTTTGATCTTCATTATTCTTCTTTGTATAGGACTGATGAAGCCAATGTATGGCGAAACATTTCCTATCAAATTGTGGGTTCTCTGAACCATTTATCTGCACTTACCTTTTCTCTCTTGTGTCCTCAGGCAAGATGGCTCACGGAGACTTCAATAACGACGGCTATGAGGATGTTGTAGTAGCAGGATACACTGCTGGCCAACTCTATGTATACACCTATGCTCCCTAGCTGTATGTTTACACTTATGCTTCCTAGCTGTATGTTTACACTTTTGCTCCCTAGCTGTATGTTTACACTTATGCTCCCTAGCTGTATGTTTACACTTATGCTTCCTAGCTGTATGTTTACACTTATGCTTCCTAGCTGTATGTTTACACTTTTGCTCCCTAGCTGTATGTTTACACTTATGCTTCCTAGCTGTATGTTTACACTTATGCTTCCTAGCTGTATGTTTACACTTTTGCTCCCTAGCTGTATGTTTACACTTATGCTTCCTAGCTGTATGTTTACACTTATGCTTCCTAGCTGTATGAAGGTTTACACTTACACCCCGTAAGTGTGAGTAGATCCTAGGAAGGCCTCCCCACAACACATACGCTGAGAACTCATTACAAAAAAAATCACTTATGATAAGCATTTAGGATTATCTTCAGCGTGCGAACGTCTTTGCCGTTGATGTATGGCTGTATGAAGGTTTACACTTACACCCCGTAAGTGTGAGTAGATCCTAGGAAGGCCTCCCCACAACACATACGCTGAGAACTCATTACAAAAAAAATCACTTATGATAAGCATTTAGGATTATCTTCAGCGTGCGAACGTCTTTGCCGTTGATGATTTAGTGCAAAATAAACCTATGTGACTTTCTTATGTGATTTACTTCAGCAACACACGACTGAAAAAAAAGATTATGTAAATCTTTTCAGTAAACACCAACGAAAATCTTATATTTTTTTATTTTTCTTCCCATGTTTGTTCTCTTGAACTTTGCACTTAGATACGACTTAGAATATATTCTAAGATTGTTTCTAAGCTCAAGTTAAATTCTGAAACCGAAGATTCTAGCTGGGGTATCTCCAAAGTGCCTACTAGCTGGTTTTCTCCAAAGTGGCTACTAGCTGGGTATCTCCAAAGTGGCTACTAGCTGGGTTTCTTTGTAGAGGCTAGCTGGATATCTCCGAAATGGCTAGCTGAGTATTTTCTAAAGGGCTACCTGGATATTTCTGAAGAGGCTAGCCTGTCATCCCAGTGATCACGTGACAGGTGTTTGATACCTACCCCAGTTATCACGTGACACGAATTTGTTCCTCCAGGCATCAAGTGACAAGTTCTCATTGCCTTAATCATCACGTGACAGTTGCTTGTTATACCAATCATCATGTGACAGGTGTCTTTTTACCCAGATATATGACAGGTGTCTGCTATAGCAGTCACCACACAACAGGCGTTTCCTATACCAGCCATCACATGACAGGTGTTTGTTATAGCAGTCATCACATGGCAGGTGTCCGTTATACCAGTCATCACATGACAGGTGTTTGTTATACCAGTCATCATATGACAGGTGTTTGTTATAGCAGTCATCACATGACAGGTGTCTGTAACAGCAGTCATCACATGACATGTGTTTGTTATACCAGTCATCACATGACAGGTGTCTGTTATAGCAGTCATCACATGACAGGTGTCTGTAATAGCAGTCATCACATGACAGGTGTTTGTTATACCAGTCATCACATGACAGGTGTTTGTTATACCAGTCATTATATGACAGGTGTTTGTTACAGCAGTCATCACATGACAGGTGTCTGTAATAGCAGTCATCACATGACAGGTGTTTGTTATTCCAGTCATCACATGACAGGTGTCTATTACAGCAGTCATCACATGACAGGTGTCTGTTACAGCAGCCATCACATGACAGGTGTCTGTTACAGCAATCACACGACAGGTGTCTGTTATAGCAGTCATCACATGACAGGTGTCTGTTACAGCAGTCATCACATGACAAGTGTCTGTTATAGCAGTCATCACATTACAGGTGTTTCTTATACCAGTCATCACATGAGAGGTGTTTGTTATACCAGTCATGACATGAGAGGCTTTCGATAAACCAGTTATCACATGAGAGGTGTTTGTTATACCAGTCATCACATGACAGGTGTTTGTTATACCAGTCATCACATGAGAGGTGTCTGTTACAGCAGTCATCATGTGACAGGTGTATGTTATAGCAGTCATCACATGACAGGCATTCGTTATACCAGTGATCACTTGAGTGGTGTTCGTTATACCAGTTATCACATGAGAGGTGTTTGTTATACCAGTCATCACATGACAGGTGTTTGTTATACCAGTCATCCCATGACAGGTGTCAGTTACAGCAATCCCATGACAGGTGTCTGTTATAGCAGTTAAGACATGAGTGGTTTCTGTTACAGCAGCCATCGTGTGACAGGTGTCTGTTATAGCATTCATCACATGACAAGTGCCTGTAATAGCAGTCATCACATGACAGGTGTTTCTTATACCAATCATCACATGAGAGGTGTTTGTTATACCAGTCATCACATGAGAGGTGTGTGTTACAGCAGTCACCATGTGACAGGTGTATGTTATAGCAGTCATCACATGACAGGCGTTCGTTATATCAGTGATCATATGAGACGTGTTCGTTATACCAGTTATCACATGAGAGGTGTTTGTTATACCAGTCATCACATGACAGGTGTCAGTTACAGCAGTCATCACATGACAGGTGTCTGTTACAACAGTTATCACATGACAGGTGTCTGTTACTGCAGTCATCACATGACAGGTGTCTATTACAGCAATCCCATGACAGGTGTCTGTTATAGCAGTTAAGACATGAGTGGTGTCTGTTACAGCAGTCATCATGTGACAGGTGTCTGTTATAGCATTCATCACATGACAGGTGCCTGTTAAACCAGTCATCACATGACAGGAGTTTGTTATACCAGTCATCACATGAGAGGTGTTTGTTATACCAGTTATCACATTACAGGTTTTTGTTATACCAGTCATCACATGACAGGTGTCTGTTACAGCAGTCATCACATGAGAGGTGTCTGTTACAGCAGTCATCACATGACAGGTGTCTGTTATAGCAGTCATCACATGACAGGTGTCTGTTATAGCAGTCATCACATGACAGGTGTCTGTTATAGCAGTCATCACATGAGTGGTGTTTGTTATAGCAGTCATCACATGACAGGTGTTTGTTATAGCAGTATCACATGAGAGGTGTTTGTTATAAGTCATCACATGACAGGTGCCTGTAATAGCAGTCATCACATGACAGGTGTTTTTGATACCAGTCATCACATGACAGGTGTTTGTTATACCAGTTATCATATGACAGGTGTTTGTTATACCAATCATCACATGAGAGGTGTTTGCTACAGCAGTCATCACAGGTGTCTTTTACAGCAGTCATCACATTACAGGTGTCTGTTACAGCAGTCATCACATGACAGGTGTTCGTTAAAGCAATCACATGAAAGGTGAGAGTTATAGCAGTCATCACATGACAGGTGTCCGTTATAACAGTCATCACATGACAGTTGTTTGTTATAGCAGTCATCACATGACAAGTCCCTGTTTTAGCAGTCATCACATGAGAGGTGTCTATACAGCAGTCATCACATGACATGTGTCTGTTACAGCAGCCATTACATGACAGGTGTCTGTTACAGCAATCACATGACAGGTGTCCGTTATAGCAGTCATCACATGACAGGTGTCGGGTTACAGCAGTCACATGACAGATGTCTGTTATAGCAGTCATCACATGGCAGATATCTGTTATACCAGTCATCACATGACAGATGTTTGTTATACCAATCGTAACGTGACAGTTTATCATTGCACTCATCACGTGACAGGTGTTTGCTATGCCAGTCATCACATGACAGGTGTTTGTTATAGCAGTCATCACATGACAGGTGCCTGTAATAGCAGTCATCACATGACAGGTGTTTTTATACCAGTCATCAGATGAGAGGTGTTTGTTTATACCAGTCATGACATGACAAGTGTTCGCTATACCAGTTATCACATGACAGGTGTTTGTTATACTAGTCATCAATGACAGGTGTATCGTAAGAGGGTTCTTGAATGAAGATATCGAGGGTTGAAGGTAGACACACTTGTTGGATGGTAACATATATATTGTCAAACTGTGATGATGAATGTGGAGCCCAGCCTCTGCCTGTCTTCGCCTGTAGGTCTACGCTTACTGAGGGGGAGGCAGAGGTACGAGCCTACAGATGCGCATCCCGTGACGTCACACAAAGTCACAGGCCTACAAGGGATCTCGTATCTAAAGCACATGGACGATACTAATATGCCATGCTATGTAACACAGGGATCAGCAACTATGCTGACAGGTGTTTGTTATACCAGCCATCACATGGGGAGGTGGGCTGTTACATCAGTCATCATGTGACAGGTGTATGTTATAGCAGTCATCACATGACAGGTGTTCGTTTTACCAGTGATCACATGAGAGGTGTTCGTTATACCAGTTTCACATGAGAGGTGTTTGTTATACTAGTCATCACATGACAGGTGTTTGTTATAATATCATCACATGCAGGTGTCAGTTACAGCAGTATCCCACATGTCAGGTGTCTGTTACAACAGTCATCACATGACAGGTGTCTGTTACTGCAGTCATCACATGACAGGTGTCTGTTACAGCAATCACATGACAGATGTCTGTTATAGCAGTTAACACATGAGAGGTGTCTGTTACAGCAGTCATCATGTGACAGGTGTCTGTTGTATCAGTCATCACATGACAGGTGCCTGTTGCAGCAATCCCATGACAGATGTCTGTTATAGCAGTTAAACATGAGAGGTGTCTGTTACAGCAATCATCATGTGACAGGTGTTTGTTATGCCAGTCATCCCATGACAGGTGTCAGTTACAGAAGTTATCACATAACGGGTGTCTATTACAGCAGTCATCACATGACAGGTGTCTGTTACAGCAGCCACCACATGACAGGTGTCTGTTACAGCAATCACATGACAGGTGTCTCTTATAGCAGTCATCACATGACAGGTGTCTGTTACAGCAGTCATCACATGACAAGTGTCTGTTATAGCAGCCATCTCATGGCAGATGTCTGTTATACCAGTCATCACATGACAGGTGTTTGTTATACCAGTCATCACATGACAAGTGTCTGTTATAGCAGTCATCACATGACAGGTGTCTGTTACAGCAGCCATCACATGACAGGTGTCTGTTACAGCAATCACATGACAGGTGTCTCTTATAGCAGTCATCACATGACAGGTGTCTGTTACAGCAGTCATCACATGACAAGTGTCTGTTATAGCAGCCATCTCATGGCAGATATCTGTTATACCAGTCATCACATGACAGGTGTTTTTATACCAATCATAACGTGATAGTTTATCATTGCACTCATCACGTGACAGGTGTTTGCTATGCCAGTCATCACATGACAGGTGTTTGTTATAGCACTCATCATATGACAAATGTTTGTTATACCAGTGATCACGTGACAGGTGTTTGTTTTAGCAGTCATCACATGACAGGTGCCTGTAATAGCAGTCATCACATGACAGGTGTTTCTTATACCCGTCATCCATGAGAGGTGTTTGTTATACCAGTCATGACATGACAAGTGTTCGCTATACCAGTTATCACATGAGAGGTGTTTGTTATACTAGTCATCACTGACAGGTGTTTGTTATACCATCAAGAACTGCAAGAAGCCCTTTTCACGAGCCTTTTCCATCCTATGGAGAGGGAGCATGGACACGGGGGTCGTCCCACAGTTACTAAAAACAACAGACATAGCCCCACTCCACAAAGGGGCAGTAAAGCAACAGCAAAGAACTACAGACCCATAGCACTAACATCCCCATATCATAAAAATCTTTGAGAG